AAATGTACCTCTACAGGACACTCTCTTAGAACTCCCACCTTCAAAGCCACCATAAAATAAACCAAGACAGCCCATTCCTGCACTTCTGTGGAATTTCAAACAGTGTTTTTGGTTTTCTTTCAGGGACACACCAAGCCATGCTCAGGGCTGACTCCTGACTCTGTGCTCTGGAATCACTCGTGGTGGTGCTCAGGGAACCCTTTGGGATATCAGAGCTCAAACCCGGATTGGCCATATACCAGGTAAGCACCCTACGCACTGTCCTATTTGCTCCAGCCCCTCCAACAGCTTTGGGAGTTCTCTGCTGCCCAGAGACAGACAGTTCTATTTCCCTGGCAGGGTGGCACTAACCACCACAAGATGCCAACTAATTCCAGACTGTGGCCATCCTGCTTGAGCAGATCTGTGAATATCTTGGGGTGTTTCAGTAAGAGATTGGGGTTGGAGAGATTCATCAATAATCCACTGGGAAGGTCAAAGGCTAGAGATGCTGGTGGGGAAAGCAGAATATTTCCTGAGAGCCGTGAACCCCAACGCTGAAAAGCAAACACGAACGCCCTGTGTGTCTCTCTGTGTGCATGACCCAGAACGATGCACAGGTGTCCCGTGTTTGTTATGGGCCCCACCTGCCTGGGTGAGGAGACAAGAATCAGGCCCAGCCTCCCACACCCAGCACCCCCAGCACTCACTGGTCTCTGCGTCTCTGCAGGCTCATGCTCTGAGCTGGGCTCTGTGCCTGGGTGAGGGAGGAAAGCTGAGACCGTGCTTGGGACCGGGAGGAAGGAGAGGGCGGGCATGAGCCTGCACAGGTGCTGGTGGTGAAAGGCACCCAGAGGTGAGCCCCGCTGAGAAATGCCCTCCAGGCTGCAGGGCTGACTCCTTATGATGCCGCCACGGCCTCGAGGGATCAAGACACAGAACTTGTGGGAAGATTCTCGATTCTCCTTAGCCCAGACCCTGGGGACTGCTAATGGGAGAGAGGAGGTTATCAAGGAATTGATGTGAGGGGCTGGGGTTTCTCTCCCATGGCAATCCCCTCGGCTCCTCCATTTTAATTTGAAACATCCCAATGTTCATTTCAATGTCTCTTTAAATGGAATTTGTGAGTGGATTTTGACATCTCCCAAGGAATTGTGTTTGTCATGACTAATCAAACAGACATATTTTGGTTTTGGTGGTAGTGGTAGTGATGGGTTTTGTTTATTTTTAAATTATTTTTGGTGGGTTTTGGGAGGTTTTTTGGGGTGTTTTTTGGAGGGGGTGTGCTTTTTGCATCACACTCGGCGATGCACAGGGGTTACTCCTGGCTTTTGCACTCAGGAATTTCTCCTGGAGGTGCTTAGGGGACCATATGGGATGCTGGAAATCGAACCCGGGTTGGCTGCGAGCAAGGCCCTACTCGCTGAACTTTCACTCCAGCCCCAATTTCTGTGTTATTTTTCTTTCATTCCCCCCATCTTTCTTTGGTTTGGCTTTCCTTTTTTCCATAACAGCACATTGGAATTTTCTGCTTTTATTGATGAATGTGTGCGTAATTGTTCTGAATGATGCTTGCTCTTGTAAGATGCAATCCATTTGTTTCAGCCTGCCAAGGGATCCGGCTGGGGGTGGGAGGGACCAGGGGCTGTTGGAGGAGGGAAGTCACATGGGAGAGAGCGTTGGGGTTGGAACACTGTGTGCCTGAAACAACTCTACTCTGAACAATTTTCTACATCATGGTGTCTGACTAAACCCTGAAAGAGAAATCACGCTTGCTCTTTTCTTGCCTTCCGTGTGCAGCAGGTGCCTCTCTAAATCAGAAGAAGCATCAGATTTGTCAATCAAGTCAGATTTATAAAATTTATAAATTGATAGAATTGGAAGTAGTCAGTAGTTCTGGGGCTGCTCCTGGCCAGGTGCTCAGCCATCACTGCCCACAGCACGGGAGTCACACCCGGTGGCCCTCATGCAGAGCGTATGCTGTGACCCTGTGGTTCCCCCCCACCCCCATCCAGGATAGAGTTTTTAGTGTGACTCACTCAGCACGAGGGCTCTAAGGGACAAGAAAGAATCAACAGGGAATTCAACCAGTATGGATCAGATGTAAACATAGAAATCCTTGGCCAGAATGAGAGCACTGCAGGGGGTGGGGGGGCATTTGCCTTGCATATAGCCAACCTGTGTTCAATCCCTGGCATCCCATTTTGTTCCCTGAGCACTGCCAGGAATAATTCCTGTGTGCAGAACCAGGAGTAACTCCTGAGTTATGCAATGTATAACCACCCCCAGAAAAAGAAGCACAGTAGGTAGGGCATTTGCCTTGAATGCGGTCGACCCAGGTTCGATACCTCAGTCCCTCTCCGAGAACACGACAATCTACCGAGAGTATCCTGCCTACACAGCAGAGACTGGCAAGCTACCCATGGCGATTTTGATATGCCAAAAAAAGTAACAACAAGTCTCACTTCGTTTTTCTGGAGCAAGCAGATGTCACTGGGCTACACTAGCATGTGACAGGGACAGATTGGAGACGTTACTGCTGCCTGCTCGAGCGAATTAATGAACAACGAACGGAATGACAGTGCTACAGTGCTAAAAGGCAATTATGCATGCCGACTGGTTCAGCCCTTTTGGAAAACAGTATGGATGATTCTCAAAAAATTAGAAATTGAACTCCCATTTGACCCAGCAATACCTCTCCTGGGAATGTATCCCGGAAAGGCAAAAAAGTACAGTCGAAATGACATCTGCACTTGTCTATTCATTGCTGCACTGTTTAGAATAGCCAAAATCTGGAAAAAACCCGAGTGCCCAATAACAGATGACTGGTTAAGGAAACTTTGGCACATCTACCCAATGGAATACTACACCACCGTTAGAAAGATGAAGTCATGAAATTTGCATACAAGTGGATATACATGGAAAGTATTATGCTAAGTTAAATGAGTCAGAAAGAGAGGGACAGACATAGAAAAATTGCACTCATCTGTGGCATATAAAGTAACAGAATGGGAGACTAACACCTAAGAATAGTTGAGATAAGGACCAGGAGGTTTGCTCCATGGCTTGGTAGCTGGCAGCACATGCTGGGGGAAAAAGCAGCTCAGATAGAGAAGGGATCATCAAGTAAAGGATGTTTGAAGGATCTGCTCGGGTTGGGAGATGCGTGCTGAAAGTAGACTATAGACTGAACACGATGGCCACTCAATACCTCTGTTGCAAATCACAACACCCTAAAGGAAAGAGAGAGCAAAAGGTAATACCCTGCCACAGAGGCAGGGTGGGGTGGAGGAGATCGGGTGGGGGGGTGGGAGGGTTACTGGGATCATTGGTGGTGGAGAACGGGCACTGGTGGAGAGATGGGTACTCAATCATTATATGGCTGAAACCCAAGCATACAAGTTTGTAAGTCTACAACTCTACCTCATGGTGTTTCACTAATAAAAATTTAAAAAATAAAAGAATTTAAAAATTAAGAGGCAATTACGCATTTCTAAATAAGATGTAGGTGACAGGAGCAAAATCCAAAGAGTCAAACAGGTGAAAGAATTGGGTTATTGGGGCTGGAGCACAGCAGGAAGGGCATTTGCCTTGCATGCGGCCAACCCGGGTTTGATTTCCAGTATCCCATATGGTCCTCCGGGCACCACCAGGAGTAATTCCTGATTGCATGAGCCAGGAGTAACCCCTGTACAATGCCAGATGTGACTCAAAAAGCAAAAAAAAAAATGGGGGTTATTAAGGGGGGTTAATCTCATGTCATTAGAGAATATCCCTTCGCTCCATGTAGAAGAAGGGCTAAAATAAGCAATTTTGCAATTTTCAGATAGGGAGATGAAGAGATCTGAAAATGCAGAATTACAAAGTTTGGTGGATCAGGATGTTAACATTTGGCCGTGACACAAGGTTGGTGTTGCCATCATTTTCCAACTCTATGATCAAATAAAAATATTATAACAATTGAGGCTAGAGAGATGCCTCCAGATCCTGCACCAGGATGAGTCTCATCTGGGAATCCAACAGAACCCGGCAGTCAAAACCCAATTGCCACCATGTTCCTGGTCAATCTCCATAGGCTTGAGACGAGCCTCATCCATGAGAATGAAACTCAGGAATGCGGGTCTTGTGACCAAAATTTCCGGATTCTCATGGAGTTGGGGATGGGAGACCTCCCCCTCATCCCCCTGTCCTTCTGGTTGCCTGGCAGTCACGCCCACAAACTGTCTCTGGCGCCATATAAGCTCACTAATGGCCATGATCCAGAGACTCACAAATAAATCTTGGAAGAGAGCCAAAGTTGCAGAGATGCCTTCTGACCCAAACTGCCCATCCAGTTGAGAGCTTAACTCCAGCTTATCACCCTATTTGAAATTTTATTAGAATTTCTGAGTCGTCTCATACTCTAACCTACTGGTTTACCAAGAGGATCACACCACATTGGATGGAGTAGAAAGTAGAAAGCAACCCATCTCAATCAAAACATGTATGTATAGTACCCAGGGGTCAACCTGTAACAACAACATGTGCGCAATCTCTTATACAAGGGCTAAATGACTTCAGGGTGAGATACAACAATCTTAACACACTTTCCTCTAGGAAACTTTTTTGGATCATTTTTAGTGGATTATTCATAACTAACAATACAAAATAAATTATTTAGGACCTGTTTGGGGGCAGGCTTGGGTAGTGGTGGGAAGAGTCAAAATAATGTGGTGGGAAGGTATAATGGTTATGGGATTGGTCTTGGAATTTGTATATAATAAATTATTGTGAACAACTTTATAAAAAATAAAATTAAAAGAATTTTAATTGTAAAAATAACAACTGAGGGGCTGGAGCAATAGCACAGCAGGAAGGGCGTTTGCCTTGCAAGTGACCAACCCGAGTTCAATTCCCAGCATCCCATATGGTTCCCCTGAGCACCACCAGTAGTAATTCCTGAGTACATGAACCAGGAGTAACCCCTGTGCATACTCGGGTATGACCCAATAAGAAAAAAAAATAATAAATAACAATTGAGGCTAAACTGTCCTTCTGAGAAGCTTCTGGAAGGCCCTCTTGATGTCCTGGTTTCTCAGGCTGTAGATAAAGGGGTTGAGCATGGGGACAACCATGGTGTACATCACTGAGGCCACTGCCCCTTTCCGGGGGGACTGGGAAACAGCTGAGCTGAGGTACACCCCCATGCCTGTCCCATAAAACAAGCAAACCACAGACAGGTGAGAGCCACAGGTGGAGAAGGCTTTGGACCGCCCACCTGTGGATGAGATTCTCAAAACAGAGCACACAATTCTCGTGTAAGAATAAAAAATTCCTGAGACTGGAACACCTCCCAGAATAGCACCAAGAAAATACATAACCAGGTTATCAGTAAAGATGTCCCCACAGGCCAGCTTGAGAATTTGTGGGGGGTCACAGAAGAAGTGAGGGATTGCCGCCTGGGTGCAAAAGATGAGCTGTGATATCATCAAGCAATGCAGCTGCGAGTCCAACAGACTGATGCAGACAGACCCCAGAATCAGCCAGCCACAGAGACGGGGGTTCATGATGACAGGGTAGTGCAGGGGGTGGCAGATGGCCATGAAGCGATCATAGGCCATCACCCCTAGAATGACACTGTCCAAACACCCAAAAAGGATAAAAAGGGACAGCTGCACCAGGCAGCCGGCATGAGAGATATTTCTGCTCTGAGTGTGAATGTCCCAAATCACCTTTGGGATTGTGGAGGAGGTAAAGCCGATGTCGGCTGTGGACAAAACAGAAAGGAAGAAGTACATGGGCGTATGCAGGCGGGGGTCAGAGCTGATGGCCAGCACGATGAGCAGGTTCCCCATGACGGTGACCAGATACATGGACAGGAAGAGGCCGAAGAGGACCAGCTGGACTCGAGGGTCATCTGAGAGCCCCAGGAGGAGGAACTCCACGGCCCCTGTGACATTGTGTGGGTCCACAGCGCAGAGACACCTTGGGGCAGAGAAATGAGAGTGGGTCTATCACTGTCAATAGTTTGGATCCAAGGAACCCATAATCGCAGAGACTTTACTTGGGTCTTAGAAACTTTTAGTACAAGGTCTCAGTTTGCGACAAGCATTCTTCTTTTGTTATTACTTTTTTATGAATCACTGTGAGGTACATTTACAGACTTACAAACTTTCGTGCTTGAGTTTCAGTCATACAATGATCAAGTACCCATCCCTCCACCAGTGCCCATTCTCTACCACCAATGATCCCAGTATTCCTCCCAACCCCTCATCCCCCCATCCATGCCTCCTCTGTGGCAGGGGATTCCCTTTTGTTCTTTCTCTCCTTTTGGGTGTTGTGGAGTGACAAACATTCTTCTTAGCACCATTTTCTCTGGACTTTCATTCTATCTTCCTGCTGCCTCAGCCCCGCTGGGAAAGTCTCAGGACAGAAAGATGAGGAGTGATGAAATTTCAAGATCCCAAAAGTCAAATGAAAGCAAAACAGTGTCCAGGATATTAAAGGAAATCAAAGAACAAAGGCTTTCAAATCTCATTTAGCAAAGATTTTTTTAATGTCCTTATTAGAGAATATTACTGGAACTATAGAAATAAGGGAGAGCAGTGGGGGAAGTGATGAGGTGGGCGGAGGTGCTGGGAAAAAAGGTCATTGATGAAGGGTCTCGGGTGCTACAGCAGTGGTAAGTGAGGTAACTTATCAATCCCATATGAATATGTTACCCATAACTGTAATCAAAATAAGGAACATGAATAAGTACCACTTAATTTCTCTCAAACATGGAGCATTTAATTGCCTTGCTATAAATTATTTGTAAAAACATATATAAATAAAACATATATAAATAAAATAAAGTATCAGCTTCATTTTTCTTAACACCAGCACTGGCTAATATTGCTGCTGACGATGTGTGTGTGTTTGTGTGTGTGTGTGTGTCCACGCGCTATATTGAGGATGAATTAGGCTTCACATTCGCCAGGCAAGTGCTCTACCCTGACAGCACCCCCGCCCCCATCCTATGTAAATCATGTAAATATTAACCTTCTGCCTGGTGCCTGTATAAGAAATAAAGAAAGTTCGAATCTTCTATTTAGAAAACAAATAAGTTGCAGAGGCCAGAGCAATAGTACAAGTGGGGAGGGAGTTTGCTTTGCTCAAGCAGACCCAGGTTCGAGCCCCACCATCCCATAGGGTGCCCGGAACCCCACCAGGAAAAATTCCCAAGTGCAGAGCTAGGAGTGACCCCTGAGCACCACGGGTATAACTCAAAAACTAGGAAGGAAAGGAAGGAAGGAAGGAAGGAAGGAAGGAAGGAAGGGAGGGAGGGAGGGAGGGAGGGAGGGAGGGAGGGAGGGAGAGAAAGAAGGAGGAAGGAAGAAAGAAAAAAAGGAAGGAGGGAAAGGAGGGAAGGAAGGAAGGAAGGAAGGAAGGAAGGAAGGAAGGAAGGAAGGAAGGAAGGAAGGTCATGTAGATATATGTATATCTTGGTAATCCAAGTTTTTCAACATTGCTAAAATTATAAATCTCAAAATTTCTCATCACCCAAAGAAAAATTAAAGTTTTTGTTGGAGCTACAGATTAAATAGAATCCATGTGGTGACTATTTCAGAAAACATTGAAATAACGAGTCTTTTATCGCCTAAAACTGATAAAAAATATTATCTCAATCATATTGTGAAAAGATAAAAGAATGCTGAGACTGGAATGATACTGTAGCAGCTAAGGAACTTGGCCTGCATGCAGCTGACTCATGTTTGATCCCCAACATCCCCCTTTTCCCCAAACCTGCCAAGAGTAATCCCTGAGAGCAGAGCCAGGAGTAAGCCCTGAGCATCATCAGGTGCAAGCCAAAAACTTGAAAAAAGAAACCACTATAGCACTTCTTTGTGACAAGAGCAAACGTACCTCTGCAGGACTCTCCCTCGGAACTCACTTTTAAAACCACCTTAAAATAAACCAAGACAGCCCGTTTCTGCACTTCTGAGGGGTTTCAAACAAGTGTTTTGGTTTTGTTTCAGGGCCACACCCAGCCATGCTCAGGGCTGACTCCTGACTCTGCACTCAGGTAACCCTTTGGGATACCGCCAGGTAAGCACTCTCCTGTGCACTGTCCTATTTGCTCCAGCCCCTCCAACAGCTTTGGGAGTTCTCTGCTGCCCAGAGACAAACAGTTCTATTTCCCTCCCTGGCACAGTGGCACTAACCACCTCAAGGTGCCAACTAATTCCAGACTGCAGCTCCATCCAGCTTAGGCAGATCTGTGGAACACCATTTGGGGCATTTCAGAAAGAGTTTGAGGGTTGGAAAGATTCATCAGTAATGAATTGGGAAGGTCAAAGGCTAGAGATGCTGGTGGGGAAAGCAGAATATTTCCTAAGAGCCGTGAACCCCAACGCTGAAAAGCAAACACGAGCGCCCTGTGTGTCTCTCTGAGTGCATGACCCAGAATGATGCACAGGTGTCCCATGTCTGTTGCGGGCCCCACTTGCCTGGGTGGGGAGACAAGAGTCAGGCCCAGCCTCCCGCACCCAGCATCCCCAGCACTCACTGGTCTCTGCGTCTCTGCAGGCTCATGCTTTGAGCTGGGCTCTGTGCCCCGGGTGAGGGAGGAGAGCTGAGACCGTGCTTGGGACCGGGAGGAAGGAGAGGGCGGGCATGAGCCTGCACAGGTGCTGGTGGTGAAAGGCGGCCCAGAGGTGAGCCCCGCTGAGAAATGCCCTCCAGGCTGCAGGGCTGACTCCTTATGATGTCTCCACGGCCTTGAGGGATCATGCCACAGGACTCAGCAGTAAGAACTATTGATTCTCGTTAGCCCAGTCCCTGGGGACTCCTAATGGGAGAGAATGAGAAAAGAGAGGAATTGGATGTGAGGGGCTGGGGGAGAAATTTCTCTCCCATGGCAACTACCTCTGCTCCTCAAGGTTCAATTTTAGAGATCTCAATGTTCATTTCAGTGTCTCTTTAAATGGAATTATGAGTGAACGCTGACATCTCCAAAGGAATTGTGTTCGTGATGACTCATCAAACAAGAATATATTTTCTCTCTGTTGGGTGGTGGTGATGGGTTTTGTTTATTTTTTTAATTCTTTTTTTTTTTTGGAGTTAATTTTATTTAACCCCCCCCCCCCACTCACCCAAGCCAAACTTGGGTTTGGCTTTTCTTATTTCTATAATAACACGTTGGAATTGTCCGCTTTTATTGATGGATGTGTGCATAATAGATAGGAATTATGCTTGCTCCTTTTTTTTAATGTAGGAATGCTGTTATTTATCAAGCCATTGATTAAGCTGATGGAATTGGGCATGAACTCTGCATTACTTTTTTTATTCAGAATGTTAATTTTATTGTATTTATCATCATCATCATCATCATTATTATTATTATTTTAAATCACTGAGATGCCGTTACAAAGCTTTCCTGTTTGAGCTTCAGTCATACAATGATTGATCATCCAACCCACCACCAGTTCACATCTTCTACTACCAAGGTCCCCAGTATCCCCCACATCCTACCCTTCCCCCTGCCTCTATGGCAGACAGTCTCCCCCATACTCTTTTTTGTATCACTTATTATGAATAGCCTAAGATGTCGCATAGTGCTCCTAGAATTCTAAAATTTTAGATGATTAGGGTCTGGAGAAATCTCTGCAGCAAGCTGCTCAGTCCGAAGATTCCTTTGTGTGTCTCTGGATCATGGTCTTAAAGGAGTTCAAGTATCAGCCAGAGGCTGTTTGTGGGCATGACCTCCAGGGTTCCAAGGGGGATGGGGGGATGAGAAGGACTGACCCATCCCCTATCCCTTGAGGCCTGGAGTTTGCCGTCACTGAACCGCTTACCTGCACTTCTCATTGGGTTCTGGAAGTTGGCAGCTGCTGGAGTTTTGATGCTTGCTCTTATAAGATGAAATCCATTTGTTTTATGTCTGCCAAGGGGTGGGCTGGGGATGGGAGGGACCTGGGGCTGTTGGTGGAGGGAAGTTACACTGGGGATGGGTTTGGGGTTGGAACACCGTGTGCCGTGTGCCTGAAACAACTCTACTCTGAATAACTTCCTACATCACAGTGTCTGACTGAAAACTGAAAAAAAGAAATCATGCTTGCTCTTTCCTTTGCCTTCTGTGTGGAGCAGGTGCTTCTCTAAATCAGAAGCATCAGATTTGTCCATCAAATCAGATTTGTCAATCAAATCATATTTACAGATTTTATAAATTGATAGAATTGGAGGGTTGGAGCGATAGCACAACGGGTAGGGCGTTTGCCTTGCACCCGGCTGACCAGGTTTGATTCCTCTGCCCCTCTTGGAGAGCCCGGCAAGCTACCAAGAGTATCTCGCCCGCATGGCAAAGCCTGGCAAGTTACCCGTGACGTATTCGATATGCCAAACACAGTAACAAGTGTCACAGTGGAGACGTTACTGGGCCCACTTGAGCAAATCAATGAACAACGGGGGGACAGTGACAGTAACCAGTGACAGTGATAGAATTGGAAGCAGTTGGTAGTTCTGGGGCTTCTCCTGGCCAGATGCTCAGCCATCGCTGCCCACAGTTCAGGAGTCACTTCTGGGGGCCCTCAAGCAGAGCAAATGCTGTAACCCTGTGACTCCCGCTACCCCCATCCTGAATTGAATTTCAGTGTGACTCAGTCAGCACGAGGGCTTTAAGGAATGAGAAAGACCCATCGGGGAATTCAACCAATATGGTTCAAATACAAACACAAAATTTCTGAGCCATAGTGAGAGCATGGCAGGGAGGGCATTCGCCTTGCAGGTAGCCAACCTAGGTTCGATCCCCAGCATTCCATATGGGCCCAAGCACCAACATGATTAATCCCCAAGTACAGAGCCAGAAGTCAGGCCTGAACACTGCCATGTGTGACCCCAAACCCAAACCAAAAAAGGCAAATGTATTGCAATGTGTCCATACAGTACTAGAGGGCAAGAGGGCCTGGTTCCGATCCCCGTCCCGTGTCATCAGTACTATTCACAAT